ATGCATTCAACCTCTGCAGCAAAGCTCACAGCACTCATACATCCATTTACAAAAGACAACCTCTGAATAAGTCGCTGAGAATGTGCACTCAACTTTGTTGGTCAACCATGGCGAGGCCTGTCCTGAGTGGAACCTGTCCTGGTAAACTGCTGTATGGTCTTGTCTACCTTGCTGCAGCTCAGTTTCAGGGTGTTGGTAATATTCTTATAGCCATCTTTATGTAGAGTAGCATTTTTTTTTCCAGATCCTCAGAGAATTCTTTGCCATGATGTGCAATGTTGAACTTCCTGTGACCAAATTCAACACACCTGTTCCCCATTTGCATCTGAGACCTTGTAACACTAACGAGTCACCAGGAAGGGAAAACAGCTGATTGAAAATGTCTAAATTGTGCCCAATTAGGGGTGTACTCACTTTTATTGCCAGCGGTTGAGGCAATAACGGCTGCATGCTGAGGTATTTAGAGGGGACAGCAAATTTAATTCAGTTCAGCTCAATTCAATTTATACAGCACCAAATCACAACATCAGTTGCCTCAAGGTATTTTATATTGTAAGGTAGATCCTACAATAATACATACAGAGAAAAACCCAACAATCACTTGGCCCCCTATGAGCAAGCACTTTGGCAACAGTGGGAAAGAAAAACTCCTTTAATGGGAAGAAACCTCCAGCAGAGCTGTGTATCATCACTTTGTGGAACCAGGCTCAGAGAGTGGGGGCTCTGAGCCTGGTTCCACAAAGTGATGATGCACAGCTCATCATCAGTGAGGTGGTGGACTAGAGGAATTTGAGAAAAATGAATGACGGGGGTCTCTTACAAGTTAAAAAAAAAAAAAATCATCAGGATGGGCAGACCGCACTTTCACTTTTCAGAAGACAAAATTGCTTCATTTTCTCCCAAGTTATATAAATAACTGACAAATTACTTATAACATTAAGCTATATTATAAAATATAATCTGACTTTCTTCCTTCAAAATTAAACCTTTGAATTATATTTAGCATATAGAGTCTCAACACAAGAGGTCAAAGTGCCCTTCACCCTCAGCGTTTCTGAGATCATGTTCACAAGAACGGTACAGATGCAAACCACCACAGAATGACTCCGACTGTGTGGAGCCGTGAGAAAACTATATATATAATCTGAGCCAGTGATCTCCAGTTGGCAACATCTGTAACATCTGATGAAGTCACCAACCGAGGAAGAGGAACAGAAATACGCAAGTGTTGGGAGGAGGGAGGAAAAAAGCAGGCACGACAAGGAGAACAGATATAGAATTTATTTTCCAATATCCATTGCAAAGAATAAGAGGTGACACGGCTTGAAACAGATAATACAGAATTTATTTTCAACCAGAAGTAGGAAAATACATAGGTAGGTGTAAAGGAAACGAGCAGAACCTGTAGTCAAAGAAAAAAAATAAAAATATAAGAAACGAAAAATAATAAAAACTAGACCAAAGAGAATTGAGAGGACGGCTAAGGGGGTACAACGGAAAGCATTGTTTACCATTCAGTTTCATTTTAAAACAGTATGTGTTGATTTGAAAACAGCTGCCTTGATTTCTCATCTGGGTTAATGGACATTCTACAACATTGTGCAAGTGTTTTTGTCTTTTTTTTCCTTTTTTTGCTGGTATTTCATGAATGGTAAACAATAATTGGTCCAGTGCATAAACACAGTGACACAGATCAATATATGTACTCAGCTGACTACAGATAGACAATCCTGATCATTGAACAACTACCACTAAATTGGCAGGGAGAAGGAGATGAGTAAATATACAAGATGGATGATAAAAGGAGAGAGAGAAAAAATGCTGTTCAGGTAACCTGGAAGGGTAAAGATGGGAGTTTTAAAAATAATTAAACAACCACACTGTGAAAGATGAAATAGCTACATATTCCAGGTAAACATCTAAAGAAAATCTGAATGTGTTTGAATGTTTCTGGGTATTATTGCCAAGTTTTTAGGACAAAAAAAAAAAGAAGGGGATGCATCTGAAATGAGATGCCAGGTTGAGAACTCAAACTGAAAACGGGTGAATATGCGGTTCAGGAAAAGGACAAAAGTGCTTCGTTTTCCTTACAGCCCTACATTTCATGAAAACTATGAGCTGGATTTAAAAAAAACAAAAAAACCCAAAACAAAACCCTGAACTGGATCTAGACTGGAGAACTTAACTACGAGCAGCTTTGGTGTGCACCCATGCAAAGAGACGCAGCCTGGGGAGGTTAGAAAAAAAAAATACAGGGGAAAAAAACTTTTAAAATCTCTTTACACCTAAAAATGAAACAATGTAAGGAAGAAAAAGGAAAAGCCAAAAAAGTGATTATTCACTGGGGCTTACAGGTTGTCACAACTCAGCTTTGATTTGACAAGATTCAGTCTGAAGCCATCTGTGGTTTAACGAGAAATGATGAAGAGGACGTTTTTATCAATAGTAGCCAACTAGTTTGACAGATTTAACCACTGTGATGCACAAGAACAGAATGAGATGGACTAGTAGTACTCAAATCATCACAGTACCAGTCTAGCGGCACATCATTAGCTTAATCTTACAAACATGTTTTACACCTCTCACAAAAAAAATCGAAAGACACAGAAAGAAAAATAAAAAATGTTTTTTGTACTGAACTGCAGCCACTAGAAGACAGCTCTGCTGCCCTAACCTACAAGCACTAGCACTCTCCTGCTAGTGCCATGCAAAATCTAAAATAAAGCTGAAATGTAAAATAATAAGAAGAAAAAATTAAAACTGCATATCCCTGCGCTCAAAAGTCGTGCTGTTACCAATGATGCAGGGATTTGTTTTTCCTTTTACCCCCATCAGTAAGCTCTCCATCCTTCACTGTGGGAGGTATTATTCAGAACATTCAACTTATGATCAACCCATCAACGACTACGTCTCATGATTTCTACAGAGGATTTGGTTTGTGATGGGATGAGTCGAACGGGGAAAGAAAAATTGAGTTTAAGTAAAAACAGCGTAGCAAACATAACACCATCGTAGAATTCATGATTTACACATCAACAAACACAATTCAATCTGTTTAGAAAGGAAACATGAGATACATCTTTTATTCACACTTTACAACAAAAAAAAGAAAAGAAAATATATATATAAAAAAAAAAAAAAAAACTACCCTTTGAATCTACTACAATACTAATGCCATTCAGGAAAGAAGACGGAAAAAAACATATGCATTAAAAAAAATTATTAAAAAAAAAAAGATGGGGACCAAATTTATTCTTATTTAGGTGCTTCCCTCTCACTTTAAAACCTGAATTTCAATGCATTTAAAGTAATGAGATCTTTACTACAAATACAACAGGGAAGGGAGTGAGGGAAGCTGCATATGAACCTACTAAGTGCTTCTCATCTGTATAAAAGCATGACTGTTTAAGTAGCCATCTTGCTTGTGACAGATTTAATTCATTTTTTTAAAAAAGATGTATCAAATTCATAAGCAACAGGTTAGCCCATCCTAAGTTTGCTGACCCTCATCCCTTGTTTATCCAATCGCAGAGAAAGGAGGACCTTCAACCCTTTCCAAATTATAGAGGGAGGGGCGGGTCCACAAATGGCACTATAGCTGCAGTAACAAGGGTAGGAAAACTATACAAAGTGGTTGAAAAGGGGATTAAAAGATGCAGCTTGTGTAAGATAGTCGAGAGGTTAAAGTCCTAGATGGGCAGTTTGGGTGAGAGGTGTTAGGTTGATGGACAGGCTTAGGGAGGTTTAAATTTGTGGCTGGGCAGGGGAAAGCTAGGGGCTATGCATTTCTGGGGGCATGGAGCTGTGTAAAAAGAGAGCAAAACATGAGGGGATTTATAAAGACAGGAAACCCTACTCATGTTCCTAAGAAAAGGAGAAAGGGTTGGTAGTGAAAGCATACCTGATTACTAGAGAGCTTAATGAATAGCAAGGATATACACATCATCATAACATTGTCACAGCTCATAAAAAAGGAAAATAAACATTAACAAAAACCAAAAAGGACATAAAATCTTCACAAATGTCTCAACAGTATTTAAAAATAAAAGGAGAAAAGGTTGTTCAGGCGTTCGTCGCATGTAAATAGTGCAAGACAACGTCAACTGCTACAGTGAGGCACGATGTACATATATGTGGGGTTTATATAGGTTTTGCCAGTTACATCACTATTGAGCAAGTTATAGAAATGAACAGATGTAACTCATCCTTGCGTGTCCTTTTGTCAGAAGTGATGGCAGCGGTGTGGATTAATGGCTTTGTTAATGGGCAAGAAGCAACAGTTTACTCTGTCTATTTACATATCAGCAAATGCCAGCAAATCATTAAAAAAAAACTGCAGAGAGAAAGGGGAAAAATATACTGATGCATTAATTACAGTTAATCTCAAGGAAGTGCAAAGTTGTGACAGCGAACGCCTTGAACAATCTCTTCTTACGTCTTTTGTACAAGCTGGTAATATCAATTCATCTCAACATTAACTGGATAAAAATTTAGCCTTAGTTTACAATACAATCTTTTTTTTTCTGATCATAATTTACTGATCATAATTTACTCTTCGTACAAAAAACGCCAGAAAACAGGTCTTTTGTGGTTCATATACAATCATGTAAAGACTGAGTCTAGATTTCTATTCTGTACAAACACTTGTGAAAAAAAAAACCCACGGCTTTGTGTATGGAATTTACGGCTGGGGAAAGTCACTACTGGCCTCAGTGCTACAGATCTGCCTGCAAATTACCTGTGTGGTGTGTTTATTTGTGTTTGTGTGTGTGGCATGTGTGGAGCTGGATGGCAACTCCTGACAGTGAGAGGAATGCTGGTTTTATTCCCGTGTATCAGCCATTACTCGCTGTCCCTGCCCTAGAAGCAATCAAGACAAATATTGGTAATAGCCCCCCCACTCCCCAATCGCTTTGCCCATCAGCCTAAATCCCCTCACCGCTTGGTCAAAAAAAAAAAAAAAAAAAAAAAAAAAAAAAAAAAAAAAAAAAAGTGACGCATGGGCCACATGAGCTCCTAAGCACAAGACTAACCTAACAGCTATACAGGCTGGGGTGAAATTGTCAGCAAACAGGATGGTAGCGTCTATCAAATTTTCACATCGTGGCTTTTCAGCACTACACACCATCTGTGTGAAACATCAAACCTAAGCTCAGGATTCTTGTTTTCTAGGCATCTGTGGATTTTGGTAGCAGTACCAGGTCCAGGGTCAGAGGTGTAGACTATCTTGTAGCACCACGGGAGGCCATGACTACACAAAAGGCCTCAGCACCACAGTATGACAGCAGGAAATCTCACCTCATACGAGCTGCGCTACATCCGCCTCCTGGGATACTTAAACTACCAGCAAAAAGCTGCTCTAATCCCAACACATCTGCTTCAACAAATGTGTGTATCCTAGAAAACCGATCATGTAAGCTGGCTGCCCAAAGTGTAGGGGAGAACTAGCACAAGCAAAGGATGGAATATTGAGACTGACAAGTCTGCTGTCTTTGCTGGTTTCAGGTTTATACAGGACAGACAGACATGCAGACCATCAGCCATGGAGCTCTTCAGTGGAAAGTAATTTCCTTCAGCCAAAATAAAAAAAAATCCCCCCTCACTCTTAAACCAAACAGTGCCCTAAGTGACAAATATGAATGAGCTACCATCCCTTCTCATTTTAAAAGACAGAAGCAAAGTGTGTAGGGTTGGTGGATCTTGAGAACAAAGGGGAGTCCAAAAACAAAATATGGTACATGAACAGGACTGAATTGAGCAGTTAAAAAACAAAACAAAACAAAAAAGAAACAAAAGAAAAAGAAAAATATAGAATATCTATAACATTATACGAAATCCCTGTCAGCCAGACCTCACTGTATGAATATTTTACAGGTTGTGTTTTTATGTCTTCCTCCTTCAGTTTGGTGGAGGGAAGAGCTGGTAGTGGGAGGAAGGAGGGTTGAGAGGGAGAGGCTCCCCCTGGTGGTTAGGCAGGGTCTCACTACCTGCGTGTCGGCAGATGGAGCCCATTCACCTGGGGGGGCAGGTTGGGCAGGAGCAACTCCAGCTGAGCAAAGAGGGAGAAGTGGTCAGAGGGGATGTGTGGATGTGGGCAGCCGCTGACATTGTTCTCTACAAGCCAGTGGTGGTCCAAAGGGCCCAAGATACCCAGCACGTTCAGGTGAGGCTTCGAGTAGAAAATATAGTCGATGACACCCTGAGAAGAGAAATAGAGAAGTGACTTTTGCACAATTTTGTGTAAGAACAGACTGGTCCTCAATATCATTTCAAAAAAAACAAAAACAAAAAAACCCAAATACATTTAAAATAAAAAAATAAAAAAATAAATTAAAAAAAAAAAAAAACCACCACATATGTGCAATTACCTTAAAATCGAAGGTGTAGTTGGTATAAGGCATCAGGCCGTTCTCATAGGCGCTCTTTAACTTGAAGCCGTGGGTGATCCTGCCATTAGACGTGCTGTTCTTGCCATTGCAATTGAATTTGGTCAGACAGTCGCTGTAACGGAGCTCCTTGAAGTCCTTGTGTGTGCAGTCCACTCCACCAGTACTCAGGTACTCCACTACGCCTGAACAGAGAAGAACTGAACCATCAGCATTTAAAAACAAACAACAGATGATGATGACGACGACGACAACTTATCCCACTATAAAAATATTTTTAAAAATTAAAACAACAGGTGGAACATGGAACATTTTTTATTAGTTAAGAAAAAATACACAGTTTGCAAAGTAATTTGTGAGACTCCATTGTTATTTCAACTCAAATTTGACTATAGTAAAAAACTTAAATATATTGCATTACTGTATGCAGTGAGCAGGCTAACAATTCTGTTCACCACCACAAAAAGGCAAATACTGATGTAATTCATGTTTTTATGAATGCCAAACAATTATTTTCATCTATTTATCCAATTATATTCAAATCCATTCTCAATTGCAAGGCAAGAGAAAATTAGGCAAAACAAGGTTGCCAGCATCTTTAAACGTGCCAGATTTAACCATCCTTTACTCGCTTCACTGAGATATGTTCGGCAGCAACAACATTAATCAGCTGTTAACATAAACTCAGCACTTCACTGGAGGCACCTCAAACACCCTCAAACCTGCCTGGCATGAAGGTTAACGTGCCCAAGTGTCAGAAGAATAAAGCATAACCACTGAATAGGCTAAAAGTAGTCTTTTAACCACTGTACAATTTTTACTGGACAGTTTTAATTTATCATGCTTTTTTTTTAAAAAAAAAAAAACAAAAACAAACAAAAACCTTTGACTTAATGTATCCCTTTATTGGCAATTAGATTTTCCACTTAATAATCATGTGGAATTTATCCACTTTTTTTTACTTCATGTTCTGATTTTTTTTTGTAAGACATCAAGCCCCCCTTAAGGGAGTAAAACAAAATCAACCCACAAAAATAAGAATAAATAATAGATAAATAAACTGTGGCCATAAACACCTGAAGAGCAACATTGTTTGGTATAATATTTTAGTATTGTCCTAAGACAACTCCAACAGTATTATTTATTTAATTATTTAACATTTAGAAATACACCAAATAATTATATTAGAAAAAAATATTTTGTAAATGGTATGACAGATAACACTGTTAGGAGATACTAAAAGATCCTTACAAATACTTCTCTATTTTTAATTACTACTGTTTTACGTTGTGGTATTTATGCAACAAGGCTTTAATGAGTACAAAGTTGTAGAAACATTGCTCAAAGCTTTATAATACAAAAAAATAAAAACTTTTGTTTTTAATTTATTAAAAAAATGTTTATTTTTTTATTTTAATTTTATGAACAATTGGTGCAGTCCAAATAAAACATTTTCTTAAGAGCAGGTCGAGTATAGCTCTTTCCTACTTACCCGAGTCAGGCAAGGAGTTGAGGTCAGCGCACAGCACCAGTGGAATGGCATTAGTCTCGCCAGAGACAGAGGACAACTTGAGGCTGCGTGTGGCCTTATCCACTATGCTTTTCACCTCTGACAGGAACATCATGGTCTGGACCAGCTTGACATCAGAATACTCTGGGTCCCAGTGCATGTGAGCATTGGCTACAAGGAGCAGCTGCTTTTCCATGCCATGGAGAGACTTACCAGCTGAAATGAGTGGCAGAGAAAGAAGGGTGGGGCATATATTAACAGGCATGTTTAACAGGGCAAAGGGGTACTAAGAGCATTAGGACAAACTGAACACATTGCCCTTGGCATAATCATCAACAAAATCCTCTGCAATACCTCTCTTGAATAAAATTCAGCGAGAAGATGAATTTGTAGTACAAAGGGCAGAACTGTCTGATCTTAACTGTCTACTCACAGGAGAGCTCCATCATCTCTTTGCGGACCTCAAGCAGTACAGCTACCCCAATGTTATCCTTTGTCATCACCCTGTTCAGCATAGCCTCTGAGCCCTCGGAGTTAGCCATGGCCAGCTGGTTAAACTCCACTGTGTGCTTCTGCACTGCACTGAACCTAAAGACAAACGGGGAAAAAGAACTACTTAAAACACTTTCTAAGCAGAGATGAGCAGAAATAAATAGAAAAGTATTAAGAGGCCCATAGAAATCAAAACCTGACTTATATTTGGCATTTCTCACATTCGGGGTTATGACTTTGCTATTGTGGACCATCTTTTGTGCGATACTGGCAGTCTTGCCTTGGGGAGTCCAGTTCAAAATGCACAGCCTGAATAGAGCCTACCCACCGACATATTGTTTGCAATCAAACTAAAATAAAATTAAATACAAAATCCATAAATATTGTATCGGTCTGAATGCTACAAAGAAATAAGCATACTTTTCCTCTGACTCTACACAAAACTGGATGGCTTTAGATTTGGGAACTAACTGAAAACCGCTCAGCCTTGTTTGGGGACCCAGGTTTCATAAATATTTATGATGATTCACACAAAAATTCAGGTCACTGTGAAAGCACAAGAGTGCAAGTGGTTAGAAGAACCAAGATGATGATCTGGATTTGAGAGCAGCCAAATATCAATCAGGTAAGGTTTCTCATTTCATGGTCCTGCTATCAGAAGCTTTTGATCACCTTACTAAAGGAGTTCAGGTCCTCAAACCTGAGAGGTTGGGGTTAAAATTATACATGAATGGTGTGTATTATATAATTATTTATTCTTTTAAACCTCACTGACTGTATGCATTCTCTGGTAAATCACAACTTCTCTAAAAGAGACAACTAGAGGTGAGCAACAACTATTTGAATGCTAATAAAAGCTACATGTAAAGCTTTTCATGTCTCTAGAACAGTTTTAACAAAATGTTACAAGGTTTATCGTTTCAGTTTAACTGTTTGTTGCACATATTATCTTTATGATGGAACTTTTTGACAGTGATAAAAACATTACTACTATAAGGTGCTATATGCATAAACCTTTTAGCTTTAACGCAAGCATTACTAAAGACAAACTACATTAACCACTAAAGAGTGAAACAAAACTACACATACCAAAAGAATAGTTTCACTTCAAGTTGAAAACAACAGTTAAACTTTAAGTTAAGCTAAAGCTAGATTAGCCTTTTTGGTAATTGCATTATACGGCTGATGGCATCACTGTCTGGAGATTACAATAAAAACCTAATAGACTTTCTCCTTTGAAGTGTAGTTAAACTGATAAGATATACATAGCAATACTTAAGCATAGGTTACAGTGTCCCAGTGTAATAGACTAGATTTTGAGTGAAAGGTTTACAACATGATATTTCATTTCTTTCTGAGAACTACTGCATCCACTTTGTGGACACTAGAGACAACCCAAAAGGAACATCGGTCACTTGGACAACAGCAGTAGGTGACGTCAGGTTTAATTGAGATTGTTTTATCACTAAGCACTGGCTAATAAGTATTAGTGAATATAGTGAAGCAGTTTCAATCTAATTCACCACAGGAATTCAAATCACTGCGAGCTATTCTTAAACCAAGAAATAGTTGCCACGGGACAAAAGCTATAGACACATACTTTTCTGTCCTGTAAAAAATTGCACATCCATCCACGTGCTTTCGATCCGACTCAGACATAGTTCTGGCTCGTGACTTTGGACTGAAGAACCCATCATATCCTTGCTCCTTCAGCTCGGGCAAGAAGAAATTGTAGTACTGCTCTGTCTCAACTTCCTGCAATTAACAGCAAAAAACAAGTTCCAGGGTAAACAGGAAAGGCTGTTATTCATGGAAGTACATCAGTTAACTCCCTCTAGATATAAAGCCATCTGGCTACATTAGCCATCTATTAACAGGATGGGTAAGAGACAGCGTGTGATAAAATAGCCATGGAAATCTGCACAATATAATAACTAATGGTGATCTTTGGGGATGACACTGATGAATAGGAGAAAGATCTTTGTGGAAGACATAATTTAAAAAGCTCCCAATTAACACTTCTTGGGGTATGTACACATTTGAAATGCAATACTATTTCCACCTTTTTATTCTTTTATATCTACAATTTCCAAAACTCATTTTGTTTTTATGTTTTATCTGATTTTCTTTTTTTTCCCTTTTCATTTTTCACAAAAAAGTATAACATTTTAATTTGACGCAGACTAGAGTTTACATATTAAAGTCTTTTCTGTTTTAAAATCTGGTTTTGAGCTTACACATTTTTACAAATGTAAAATGTAAAAACTAAATTACAACATTGATAAATAATAAAACTGAAAGTGATACCAGAAGATTCAGGTAGGAAAGGAAAGTAAGACAATAATATAATTTAACCTACATGTCCATTGAATAAGTATCATCTGAAAACATCATAAATCTCTGATTATTAGAACTGGTAGTCAATTTAGTATTGATGATCATGCACTAAATTAAATGGGCCAGGCTTGGAAGAGATTCCCAGAAACCAATACAAGTCTCTCCAGCTTGTATAGTTTTGCCTTTTAGCCGACATGACCCCTCCCAAGCATAGCTGCTACATCCATAACAAAACAGTGCAAAACTAGTTTTGCTTCACTCAGTATATGTGCTTGTCTTTACCCCTCAGCGGTCCTAAGGGCTGACAGATTGCAAAGCAAATAAAAACCCATCTAGTGGTGTCTTTATAATGAACAGGTGGCATCAGAGCTAACGTGGTGCATTTAAAAAAAATTTAAATTAAATGGATAACAAACAAATGGATAAAAACATAATGAATTAGGCCTAACAAACACATAAAGATCACTAGTTCCAATAGAAGCACCTGATTATTTAGCTTCAAACAAAGGTCTAATCTAAGCACTCAACCACAAAAGAAAAGTTTGCAATTTGTTGACACTGTCCATTAAACTGAACACATCACAATTTTCACAACTGTCAACTGAACATAGTACTCTTATTAGAGTGTTAGCATAACAGTTTAAATGTGATATTGTTAAAATAATGAGTAACAGAATTTTGTGTTTGTGTGCAGTCATGAGAAAATGTTTGACCAATTTCTTGGATCCATTTGATAGAAAACAAAATGGAAACAATTAAGAGACAGTGAAAGAAACTTTGACATCTCTCACCTGCAAGCTGATGATGTCTGCATTGCAGCCCATGATCTCCTGCATTATGGATTTTTTCCTGTACTCCCAGTTTAGAGCCCAAGTGGGGCAATAGCCATATAGCTGACGTGTGGCATACTTATCACACAGCACATTGTAGCACATCACAGAGAACAATGCTGAGGAGACAAACAGGAGAAAAACAAACAAAAACATCTTATCAAACTGTGCACACAGTTACAATTAAAAATACATTTTAAAAAAAACAACAAAAGAACCACAAATCTGCAGTTGCTTGCAACAGTAAAAGAAAATAAAAATGCTGAGTAAATCTCATCATTACAGAAAATGGTAAATGGCCTGCATTTGTAATGCGCTTTTCTAGTCCTTAAGGACCCCAAAGCGCTTTACACTACATTCAGTCATTCACCCATTCACACTCACATTCACACACTGGCGATGGCAAGCTACATTGTAGCCACAGCTGCCCTGGGGCGCACTGACAGAGGCGAGGCTGCCGGACACAGGCGCCACCGGGCCCTCTGACCACCACCAGTAGGCAAACATGGGGTTCTTCTGATTAGTGGCTGACCTGCTCTGCCACCTGAGCTACAAACACCAAAATCAACTACCAGTATATCTTCAAACCAGGAATCAGATCAGCCGTTCTTTTTGACTAATTTGTTTTGCTTCAGCAACCGAAACAATGCTTATACACTAGACTAAACACAAGTGGTAGAGCTTCTGCTCTAGAAAGAGGGGCGGCACTAAATTTCACACCAAACAGATTATAAATTTTTTGCACCTTTCAGATCATAGGAAACATTCAGCATGTTTGTGTCAAACTGGGCATTTTCTTGATGATCAGATACATGCGAATGGCAGTCAGTTTATGTGGGTGCAAGCTGGATCCATACTAAACTACATCAAACTTTGGTTTGCAAACTTTGTACTTTACATAACTGTAGCTTCCAGACTTGATGTCATCGTTTACAAATCCACTACCAACTGTTGTAACCTGATGACGCAGTCTTCTCTGGACTGTATACTACTACGAGGACACTTGTGCGCAGTGTATATCTTTAACAGGTCTGAGCTGTCTAAATGAGTTGCAGTCTGAACTGCTCTTTTAGGATCTACCAAATATTTGTGGTTTAAAGCCACAGTGCTCAACTGATCACTGCATTGCATACCATCCTGAAACTCACAACCACACAAGACAAAAACCATACAGGTACTTCTGTTCAAAGTCATGTTGTGTGTGTTTTGTTCTTACCAGAGGGCCGTGCTCGATCAGTTTCCTGGAGTGTAATCCACGACCGGGGTGGGGGTTGTTCTGTTGGCACTGAGTTTATGGAAAATGGTTCAGCATAGGTATCAACATGATATTGTCAAACAGTGATTTATTTAAAGAAAACAAACAACAACAACAACAACAACAACAAAAAAAAACACACACACTACATGATCTGTTGAGCCTGCTTACTGATTTACCTTTTCAGTAAAAATGACAACATATGCTGAAACTTCTCACAAAAGCAAGAGAGAGAACACTCACTGCGCTTTATAGCCCCCGCCAGATTGTCTAACAAGTAGCTCAGCAGCCTCCGCGTGCCATCAGGTTCCTGGTAGAGGCTCAGAATTTCTTGTGCAAGTGGGTTTCCTGTTGAAGGAAAAGCAAGTCAGGCTAAATAATCAGTGTTTCCCCTACCCGAGACCTCCTGGGCCCTCAACTAAACATAGGAGGAAAAAAGAAATGTAGACACAAAAAAAAAAAAAAAGGATATATTTATTTTGTACATGTCATTACCAATGAGCATTTGTTCATTTCCGCTTGAGTCTGAACTGTACACGTGTTTAACCATGTACTTCACTGAAAATGTACAACCCCTAACCACCCACCCACACGAGGGGATCAGGATAATGTTACTCAAGTGGAACACTTGTTAGGTTACTGCACATGCAATGAAATGTTGCCAGCAGGAGTTATTCTGTCTAAAACAACAGCGTGTATGACCCTATTTCAAGTTTGTCTTTAATAACAGAAGAAAATGATAAAATAAACATCAGTTGCCACCACTGCCAATTCACCCTCTACTGTTGCTGCATCCCTAGAGAAATAAAAAAAACAAAAACAACTTATAATAAAATGGAGGGATTTTCAGTCCAGAATGGCTACAAAAACATTGAAGAGCCACTCACCTTTCAACCCCAGTGTTTGTAACTGAAAGAGTTTCCCCAATTCAAATGGCAGAACCCGCAACTGGTTGTTATTTAAAAGCAGTTCCCTGTGGAGGGCAGATGGGAAGTGGATCATTAGAAACTAAACTTCTAAGATTAAAAATAAATAAATAAAAATCTTTGTCTTTCAAAAACATTTTCCGAAAGTCGTCATTTAAAAATACAAGCATTACTTGACAGTGTTAAAATGATTATGAATGTAGCCTTTTAAATTAAAGTGAGACATTTCAACAGATGGGACAAGAGTGACAGTGGTAAAAATCAGCAGCTGGTCATTGCAGCTATATATATATATATATATATATATTTATTAAAGTAAGGTATGAAGAAAATAGTCCTTTATAACCCAATTTAGGATACAGGTTTATCACTTACCTGAGAGACACCATGTTGCCGAGCTCTGCCGGCAGGCTCCTGATCTTATTGGATGAGAGATCCAGGTACACCAGGTTGTGTAGTTTGGCAATGTCTGGCGGGATGCGTGACAGTGAGTTGTCACTGAGGTGCAGGGCAGTGAGGTGGGTCAGAGACCACAGGGCTGTGCTGAGACTCCTTACTCTGCCTGTGGCGAAAATGGGAAAAGGCCAAACAGGACAATAAGTCCAAGAATCCAACGCCATTTTCACAAAGATAAATGTGAAAGAAAACTGTTCCCCATTGATATGGATAAGTCAAAACAGGTGAGCTGATTTCACAGTGGAGAAAAAAACCCAAACAAACATGTTTGCAATATTTCTCTTTGATAGTGAGGATTTAGTAATTACTTGTGTGCAGCTGTGCAAAGCAATGGAAAAAAAATATGTGAGAGGAAAATAAGTTTAAAATCCCCCAAATGATTTATCTACACAAGCACAAACACCATGAAGATACTCACCACTGATTTCCAGCTCAGCCCAGTATGACTTCTTCCCATTTGCTGCCTCCTCGCTGGACATAATTGTGTACATCCGCCTGGGATCCGGCGGGTCATATTTTTCCTTGGGCATTCCTATAACACTAGAGAAATAATTTATATTTTAATTCACCAACAACTATATACTAGTATACTAAAAATGAAGTTCAAGCTCATAAATGTAGCCTGAAATAATCCAAAGTAAGTTTGAAGTGATGTGTCTCGCTCATCAGGTTAGCCCAGGTGACTGTAGCGACCACCGAGATGTGATTAAAGTCATAAGTTTCCGTTTACTGATTATAAAGCAATGCGTTTCCTTCATATGGAGCTGTTAAAATGTCAACAGCTCCCTATAAAGACCGTGATTTCGCTTGAGTTACATAATTTAACAGCGTAAAATAATTACAACTGTAGAGCCATATTTTCCACGCCAACTTGAAAAACTAGGCTCTTAACAGTGTGAAGCTTTAATTTGTGCAATAATAAAACCACATTTTTTGAATTTAGGTTAGCACATTTTTCCTCTCAGTGACGCTAACTGATTAGTCTAGCTTAACCTAATTAGGCAGCTATCGAACTATACATAACAGACGCTAGTTAACGAACTAGCTCGCTTGCTAACTAGCACGACGGAAAACAGACAAACAAAATTTACCAGTTAGCCGACGCTAACGCCCTTTTCAAGTGGGTTAATGGATAACACACTAAATAATATTAAAAGATACCATGCAGTCTCGCTTTATATAATAGCAAAGCACTGAGTTGCGCATAAACACTAGGCCACGCAACAACGCATTAGTTAGCTGTCATTAGCTAGCTTCCACTAGCAAGAAGCACTATCACGGAGATAAACAGAGAGGAACCCAATGCACACAAAGCGACAAAGCTGGACTTGAAAGCAATTTTGAGCCATTTAGCTTAGCTTGTGTTAGCTTATTGGCTAAAAGCTAACATCCTAATTATGTGAAGCTGACCACTTCCTATTAAATAAGTGTTATTTCGGAAAATTACGGCAGCACTTCTAACATTCCGCATAAGATTTTGGTCAATTGGGTGAAAATGGGTGAGTTATAACAGAAAGGATTCAATTTTTACCTGCAAGAGCATACCAAATCGCGAGGACGACTGCGTGTTCTCTTTTGTTTTCTAGCTACTTCTCACCCGTTTCCGCTGCTGTATCATGGCGACTGTAAGGATTTTTTTTCCTGTGCCGATAACGGCGCCTGATCTTATTGGTCAGCGTGTGGAAGGTCCAACCAGCTGTTGAACCACAATAAATATCAAGTGAGGAATGATGGACCATGAGATGGAGCGACAAAATACCATTATTCACTTTACTGTGGCTTATCTAGAAATCATGCTCAATCAAGCACAATGATTATCACGTATTGTGTAGTCTATCGGCATAATGATGTAATGCTTGCATCTGTGTGGAAGTAAATTACACACAACGACAAACCTTTTCATAGAAAAAGGCAATATAATTTATTGAGAAAAGTGATTTTTCCAATTAGTTTGATTTAATTAGGCCAAACAAAGAGGGCCACAGTTTTATACAAAAAAATAAAATTAAAATAAAGGTCACCAACATGTAGCCACACATCTGAAAGCACATTGATTTGCTCTCCTGATATGTAGACTGTAGTATTGATATTTTAACCTTATATATATATATATATAGTTTATTAGTTTACCTACAAAATAAGCATCAATATGAAACGTGAAACACAGACTCTTTTATTTAACACTGACAGACATCTAGGAGATGATCCTGTAGATAAGTTAAGGACTCTTCCACATGGAGAGGTAAAGCTTGGTCGAGGTCAGCCTGAGATCTGGACAGAAAGGCTTCAACAGCTTCCTGAACGGCAGGTCGTGACACCCTGTCATCAGGCTTATAGACTGACATGCCAACTCTGCCTCTGGGCTCTGTTAATGAGTTGCAGAGATAGCCTGTGGATAACAGATAATGTAAATTAGGAGGACACACAAACAAACATTGTAGAGTTAGGCAGTTGCTTGACTTATTGTTACAGTGGAGGATGTGGTACACTGGGTACAAAAAAGTGACTGTAACCTATGTTTTAGATGCATTCACCAGGAAATGCAATAACAGTGATTAAAAAAAAAAACAACACATCACAGGGCAATAATGCCACAAACAGCAGTGCAAACAAGACTCCTGTCAGCAGGAAATGTGCAAGCTCACCCAATAGGCACATATTTCAATTTTTAATCTATTTATTTACCTGCCTCTATAATTTGCTAAATACTGAAAAAGCTGATAACGCTGTGTACAACAAGCATTTATTGTATCAATGCAAAATTGCCCTCATTGTCGCCATCAACAATCATCTTGTCTTCAATATTATATACTTCATAGGAGACCATTTATCTACCACAGCTACAGATACTGCGAAGCAATTTCCAGCTGTTTACCAAAATCTCACCTTTCATTGCTTTGTTATAGCTGAGCAGCAACATCCAGAGGAGATGCACCAACTCCTCCCACTTGAGCCACTTTTCAGTGCCATCCTAGAGATTACAGACATTAATCAGTCGCATTGAATCATCGTTTATGGTCACTTTTTTTATTTCTCTCAAAAAAATTAAATAGAACAAGAAACAAGAATCACAAATTTGTGACTTGAAAACATCAACAAGAAGCTGTCTGCATCTCTAAAGTGAAGATCACGATGATATAAATCATTCCCATAGTATACTCAATTACAGGCTCACAATTATGTTTATTTTGAGGATTTATTAATATACAGATGTTAACAGTACCTGATGCTTTTTTCATTGTCCAATAATAGAATTTGGAAAAAAACATTCAAATGAGGACACAGCACACTTTATTTGGTTGTATTAAATGCAGTATATTGGTACACAAAGAGTAGGCCTGAATTAAAGACTTGGTCATGTTAGCCACATTAGCCATGCACTGTTCTGTGGGAACACTACTATTGAGATAATGATGGCAGACTGTGAGGCAACTAGATTTAGCTGGCTAAATGTTGTTTAATCCTAAGCCAAAGCAGCCACTATAAATAAGAAACACAGGTCTAGTGTTTCAGGCAGTGTATCAACAGTTTCCTTTCAAGAGAAGACAACATTTGACTTTCATAACGTTGCAAACTTTGGGAAAATCTACACAAGGTAAATAGCACACACTAAAGAACAGTGGAAACCCCTCCCCCAAAAGCATATTCTGGGAACTAAAGTACTGTAAAGAAGTTGGCCAATGACATAAAAATGAAGATAACAATCAGGAATGTAATATTCACCATAGGGTCTGGTGCTACAGTGCAGTGTTTTAGAAAGTGAAGCAGCAGACTGAGCGACATGGGCAGTGAGATTTTCACTGGGCATGCATAGTCCAGCAGATGTTCCAACAGCTTACATCTCAGCAGCTTACTCTGTAGGCTCTCCAACAACAACATCCTGGGAGTCAAAAACAGATTAGTCAAAGGCAGCTTGAAAGACTGGTGGGAAAAAAGGGTCAACCTTGCTATTAGAATAAATATATGTTTGCTTATATAATTTACTTAATTGATGTACTTACAAGATTTAAATATATTTCCATTAAAGCAATGCAATGAAAACACAATTATTTATTTTTCCATACAAACAGCCCTTTATTTAGTTTAAGTGAGAGTTTCTACAATACAGACAGGTAAATTTTGTTTGTGATGATATTACCACTCATTACCACAAACAAGCAATATTTGGGCTGCAAAGGCAAGTACCCAGCAACATAGGGAAAGTAATCGGATAGGACAACAGGAAGCACTGTTAATGTTTTTTAAAAGGTGCTCTACAGGGAGGATAACTACAGAAATACTTAAAAAAAAGAAAAATGATTTCTGGCTTCTTGTATTTACACTTTCCACTTCACATTTTAGTAAGCTCCTTTTCTGTTTTGCTAAGAGTTCAAACGATTCAAGGTAAAAATGTAAAAAGGTTAGTGTAAAAATTAATAATAAAGAATTTCCGTACTCATCATTCCATAAATTCTGATAGAAAATGGAATGAAAAACATTTACAGACTACTGAGCAAAAATAACGTGATTTAGTCTAGTAGATTTTTCCCTACCCCATTAAATATTCTGAACACACGTCTCCTCCTCACCTGTGAGCTCGTAGGGGCACGTTACTGATGAGCATATGGAAGAGCTCTTGGGACAGCTTGGCAGAGGTTAGAGCAGGAGAACAATCCACCTCCAGAGCCAGAGAAAGCATCCTTTGCAAGCAAGACACCATTCTGTAGGAGACAGAGAGACATACACTTTAAAAAGCAGACACAGATGGAATTGTTAAAACCTTTCATAGTTTTAGCTCTGTATGCCAACACAGAAGATTTTAAATCAAACAGTCGAGATGCATTTTCAGTCCTGACTTTAAGGGGTTGAAAAAAATAAATAAAATACATAAACTGTAGACCTGGAAAATTACAGCTGAGAATATGAACTTCAAATGCATATATAATGTTTTATTACAAATTTTCTGTGGTGGTGTAAAGAGCCAAAATCACGCCACTGAATCACTGTCTAAACATTTCTAGAGCTAACTGTGACATACATGCAAATCAGTTGTTTATTCTGCTCAAACTGCTGCAATCTGCTCTTTATTTAAGAACAATTTATTCTAATTCACCTCATATATTCTCTTTCTTGGGTCGTTTCTCTACCCTTTCCATGCTCTGTTGATTTCATAATGGCAGAAAACAGCCACTTGATGACCTCCCTGTAAAAAAATTAATTAATTAATTAAAAAAGATATCAAAAATGACTTTAAATATGATACTTATAAAGAAAATGGCAAAATAATTAAAACAATCTGGTTTGTCACTGGGTATATGTGATAATTATTTGTTGTGAAATGTATGAGTATTATACTTCATGAAAGATGTCATCATTACAATTGTAAATGACCATTTGTGTCAATTAAACCTGATTATTTTTGTTTGTTTATGTATAGATGAAGGTAGGTTAAAAATGGAAAAAAAAAAACCCACCTCTCTGCTTTACAAAACATTTGCTTCCATACTGTTAAAACAAACCCAGCAGAATATCTTCACAGAAGAAAGTTTTACCCAGGCGTCCATCATAAACTAGTCAAGTAAGGGTATCCAACCTCAATGATATACAATCAAACTCAAGTGCTTAAAGTTACCCATGTTTATAATACAAGTTGGCTATCATGCTCACCTAACACGGGGAAACTGCTGATCACACGACAATGTTGCCTTTGCTATCGAATGGTGCAAGGAGGATGTAGAGCATTTGGCCCGAAAGTCGTCCTCCAAAGTCTGCACAATGTACTCCAGGAACATGCGCACCACATCACACCGATGCCTTTGTGTGTGCTCCTAAGGAGGCAAAAGGTTAGCAAGTAGGAAAATTATTCTGGGCTGCAAGTATCTGCATTTTAAAGCAGATTGAAAACAAAAAACAGCGTGACAAACAGGGTGAAACAAGCAAGCAAACTCAAAATGTTTGACTAGTAACGGGACTGCAAATGTTTTTCACCATTGCAACAAAATTGTTTTCAATATGCTCTTGTTCATAGAGTTTTGGGATAAACTTTGTAAATCAGTACCTCATCGGTCATGACTGAGGTCAGTAACTCCCAATCCCACGGAACTGTGTTTTTATCAACCATGTGGTGCCTGCAATCACACAACATTCTTAGTCTAAGACATTCAAAGACCAAAAAGCAAGTGACAATTTGTAAGATATGATGCAAAGACTATGAAATTTAAACATACTCATCAAACTCATATCGCTACAGTCTCTTTACCTTTGTGACCTCATCAGGAGCTTAAAAGCCTGCACACAGAGGTGATGAGGAGACTGTAGGTCGAGCAGAATGCCGTGGAGTAGGTGGGAGGTGATATCTCTGGGGGGATAGTAACCAGGCTGTAGTAGGTCAGACAAAAGCTGCAAAGTACCTTCTGGATAGTTCTCGTCAATTGTACTGTAAACCAGACTCAGACTCTGGCGACATAGCACCTCGGGAGTTACAAAATCTTCATCATCCTCTTCAATCTATGGAAAGAAAATGCACTTGCTTCAGCATTTGATCAGTTAATGAGAGTACCGGGAAATACAAATATAGATATCTGGGCAGCAGTCTCTCACCATTGCCTTTTGAGTTGTTCCAGCTAGTAATTTCCTGAGTGTAGATGGGCACACAAAATGTCTATCCTCTCTACTGACTGCCCTGCAGTCCATGGTCTCTTCATTCATGTCTTCTCCATCACTTTCATCTTCCCATGGGAAAGAGCCTGGACTGTAAAGTCCAAGATCTCCCTTGTATGTCTCAGTCTCCAACTGCCATTCAGGCGTATCTTCAGCTGATTCGGATCTAGGAGATGACTCAGCAGGGCTCTTTCGACTATGAGATATAGGACTTGTATTGGAGGGAGGGTCAGGCTCAAAACGCTCAGAAGAGTTTGATGCAGTAGTAGGAGAGAAGGGGGATGAGTTACCAGAGCTGCAGGATTGTCTAGATTTTTCTGGTTCGTCTAATTTTGGCTGATTCAGGTCAGAACAGGGGGATTCCATTTGAGCTTCGTCCTGTGATGACGATGCCAAATCTATGGATGTAATGGGTAGAGCTGAACTAACTCCATTGCTCGGACCATCGTGTATGCTATGCTCTTTTGAACTTGCAACAGAGTTTTCTCCCACTGAGCGAGGAGAATCGGCAGGGCTATGTAGGTGCTGTGGTTCATCATCTTGTACCTGTGTGTTTGTACATTCCTCACTGTTGTTTTCTTGTCCATCCTTAGGAGGAGACACATCAAACAAAGGCCCAACGTTAGAAACGTTTGGACTCGTAGTTGTACTTAAATTACTATTGCAACGAGGTGCTTCACCGTGACTGTTCAGAGACATTTGAGTACAATCTTTGGTCACATAGACAGAACACTTTGAGGTTTTCAGTTCTGCAACATGTGTTTCTAGAAAAGGCAATCGTTTCAACTTTACAGCTGGTGTGTTAGGACAGGGGGCTGCTTTATTGTCTTTTTTTGGGTGTTGTGTTTCAGGTATTAGAGGATTTAGACGTCTCTGCTTTGGTTTTGGGTCACCACAGTCCTGCTGTGGAGCACAAACAACGGAGTCCGTCACAGGCGTTTTTTGGTTATTAAAATCTTGACATTGTGAGATGTGATTTAAATTTGTATTTGTGTTTTTTGATTGACAGTCATCTGGTGGTAAATTCTCTGTCTCCTGCTCTGTTTCATTTTCAGTCAAGTCTACTAATGCTGTGCCAGTGCCAGTGCCATTTTGCCTTCTCCGTAGCTCTGGAAGAGTCCATCTTGGATCTGTGAGGTCAATATAATTCTAAAAAAAAAAAAAAAAAAAAAAAAAAGGAAAAGATAATTATTAAAAAAAATCAATAAATGCTATGTTTTGGAGAAGACAAATATAACCTTTGATTGTTTTTTTCATTTCTGAAAGAAATAGGGGGAAGAAGGAAAATCATCCTTACCTTACTTCTAAAAGATTATTTAGCTTTTGTAACTATGTGCTACTTTATCAGAAATTTCACATTTGAAAATAAAATGATCATTCAAGCATAGCAGCATAATCATTCAAACCCAAGGGATGAACCAGTACGGTGTATACACAAAAACAAACAAATTATACATAAATGGACAGAAAATCAAAGGTAACAGGTCTTATTAATATGAATTATTCCTGAAGAGAACTACAGAAATTACAAGAAAACTTGCCTCAGAGAATTTAGGATACACTGAAGGTGGTCATACCAAAGAGTGTCTGTAATTATTCAGACTTTATTTTACCTGACTTACCTTTAAGCTTTCTCACCAGTCCCTCAACATAAGCTTAAAAAATTACTCTTTCCATTTAATCACATATTCATCTACTGTGAGCTGCAGTTACAGTTATAATAGTAATATTTCTAATACATAATATCTAACCACCTCCACAAATGTCAGCCAATGGTTTTGGTAGCGGCTTTAATCAACTCCATCAAAGGCAAGAAAAGTTTAACTGGTGACTTTAAGTCACCAGCAGTTTATTTAGCTGTTGTGAAGTCTCTGAATGCCACTGACAATCTATGGTCTCTGGTTATCAACTTGCTGCTTGTCAATTTGTGTGTGGTTGCACCTCCCCTAATCAGTTATCAGGATCTGCCCAAGTACTGACTAACCAGACTGATTACCATCTGCAACTAAATCTTCAGTTTTCTTTCTTCTTGTCAAATGCTTTAGACAAATTGATCAACAATCCAATGCAACACTCCTTGACTAGAGATGCGATCATATAATTTACTGCCTCTTGTGATGCTGTCAAGGTACTACACTATATTGCCAAAAGTATTCACTTGTCTGCCCTCACACATATGAACTTGAGTGGTGGTCCATTCTTAATCCATAGAGTTTATTATGATGTCGGTCAACCCCTTGCAGCTATAACAGCTTCAACTCTTTCTGGAAAAATTTTCCAGGAAATTTAGAAGTGTGTTTATGGCCATTTCTGACCATTCTTCCACAACTACATTTGTGAGGTCAGACACTGAAGTTGGACAAGAAGGCCTGGCTCAAACTCTCCACTCTTATTTACCCCAAAGGTGTTCTATCAGGTTGAGGTCAGGACTCTGTGCAGTCAAGTTCTTCCACACCAAACTAACTCATCCATGTCTTTATGGTCCTTGCTTTGTGCACTGGTGCACAGTCATGTTGGAACAGGAAGGGGCCATCCCCAAACCTTTCCCACAAAATTAGGAATATGAAATTGTTCAAAATTATTTGGTATGCTGAAGAATTAAGAATACTTTGCACTGGAACTAAGAGACCGAGCCAAACTCCTGAAGAATGATCCCACATGATAATCCCCCCTCCCCCAACCTTTACACTTGGTAAAATACAGTCAGACAAGTACATAACATGTCTCCACTGCTGTAGAGTCAAGCGGTGGCATGCTTTACAACATTACATCCAGTGCTTTGCATTGAGCTTGGTGATTTTTTTAAGGCTTGGACAAAGCTGCTCAGCCATGGAAACCTATTCCATGAAGCTCCCTTTGCACTGTTCTTGAGCTAATTGTCTAAACTGACTTCAGAAAGTTGGTGATCTCTGCACACTACGCACCTCAGCATCCGCTGACCGCTCTGCAATTTTACGTGGTCTACCACTTCCTGGCTGAGTTGTTGTCATTCCCAATCATTTCCACTTTGTTATAATACCACTAACAGTTGACTGTGGAATATTTAGTAGCAAGGAAATTTCACAAATGGACATATTGCACAGGTGGTATCCTATCACAGCACCACGCTGGAATTCAGATAGCTCCTGAGAGAGACCTATTCTTTCACCAGTGTTTGTACAAAGAGTCTGCATGATTTTATACACCTGTGGCCATGGAAGTGACTGAAACACCTGAATTCAATTATTTGGATCCGTAAGTGAATTCTTTTGCCAATGTAGTGTATCTCCCGGTCAAAACCCACCGGAAATAGTAGTGCAACTGAAAAGCTATGGAGTTTTCTTTTGCAATTTTTATAGATAAAAGAACTAATGCTTTATTTACGTTTGCTTTAATGGCTGATATACACAATGTCTGTATTGTTGGTTAATTGGTTAAACTTAAAACCCAAATAATTATACTTTATGGAAGGACAGCATGTACAGTTCAAGAAGAAGGTACAGAGTTGTTGTAATTGGTCTCACAGTTCTTTTGGAGGTGGCTCTCCCTTTAATATCTGGATGTATAAGACCAAGCCACAGAATAGCGAGCAATTTGAGTCAAAAAGACACTCCTATCAGGTTATCTTATCCTTCCCCATGGGCAGTTTCTCATTTGACTCTCATTTGACTAGCAAATGCTCGCCTGGTATAACATAACAAAGAGCTCCTTTACATAAAATATACAACATAAAGATTTTGGTAGACACATTTTACTACGCAATTTAATCCGCATTAATGTTAACTATCATTCCCCGTTTCATGCAGTATGAAAAAATTAAAACTATTTAGCAGCGCATTTACAGTACAGTAGTAATACATTTATAAACAATAAAGACACACAGCACATACTAATGACACCATTTAAACATAAATGCTTGTTTGAGCAACAAAATTATTTTACAATAACAAAGTTATAAACAAAGCGCCAAATAACTTATTTACCTTTAAGCTAGGTTATAGCATCTGTCACCAGTAATGTCGCTACATTTGACTTGTGCTGCTACTTGACCGCAGAGCGTTAATAAGCAGGCCGTATCTTTTAACTTTTGTTTGTTTTTTCTCTATCCAGGTGACGAGCAACAGTCTAAGAATACTAAATGTACCCTAGTTTCTACAGCAACCGAGTTTCAGTCCGCTTACCGGTGGGAGGGCGAGCTTCACGGCATCGACTTCAACCCGCACAGCGGAGAGAGGCATCGGGTCAGGCTTGGCAGTGAATGTACAATAGGACCCGACGATCTCCACATCGGAGTCGTCTGAGCTGACATTGATCACATCATCCATTTCTCTTCAGTCATTCAAATTCAGCAGCCAATGCACAAAAGCATCACCTAAGGCAGACCCGTGACGGTCAGGGCAGTCCTAAACAGCCATGAGCTTCCGCCGTAGATGTCTCATTCCGATCATGTTTTGTAGAAAACACAAAATAACTCCTCCAGTGAGGCGTGCAACCTTCGGCATTTCCTTGTTGAGATCGTAGATTACATGCGTCGTGTTCGGCAGGTGGGTTAAAACGTGGGTGTATCGTTACAATTCCTGGGTTGCTGTGAATTAACTACATAGAAGCTAGACTCCAAAATTGAAATCCAAACGCTTAAAATTTATTGATAATTGCAATGCAACATATGAAGTTTATGAACGCTTCCTGTTTTTTTCTCCCCATAGCTTTTCTTCTATGACCGTGGTGGGTCACAACAAGCGCCATACTTGAAATGATCTCCACCTGCTGTACTGGAGTGCAACCTGCCTGCGCAGATTCTGCCTGTCCTCAAAGAAAATTAAGGACAGACAGAGATACTAAAGACAGACGAACACATTCAAAATGCACCTTAATTCCTAAAGTGTGGCTGGTTACAGCCAAAGGCAACGGAAACGAGAGGCCAAACGTGTCTTTGGACTATCCACCTCACACGATCATTTTCTAATTTATATTTAAATTACACTTTAAATGTGTTTTTCCTCCTCGCCTCATAATGACTATCGATGCTAAATTTTAAACTAATGATCTATTTAG